ACACACACAGACAGTACCTAGTGTGTTAAAAACCTTCCGCGTGCACACAGTACTCAGAATGTGACGTCGGCGAATGATGTCAGCAACCAGTCCAGCGACAGGTCCGATTATCCAACTGCCAGCGTAGGGAAGGGCGGAGAGAAGGCCATTCTGAGGAACAGAAGATACAAAACAGTTTTACGACGTAATTTTATACCAGAGTTATGTCATTTAGATGTCGGTCTGTTCTGACCTACATATATAAGGACCGGTGGCTGCTCAGTTTGTCACAGGCCCAGTTTGTCACAATTTCATTTAAGTAGTTGGGCATTGATGACAGTCATATTTACAGCACTTTAACTGTAGTCGTAACTTAAGGTTTTTTTTATTCTCCACCTTTAAATTGATGTTGTAAAGATTGTCCCTCTTAAATATCAATTCTGCTTGTGTTGTTCAATATTTCTTCCTTTTTGTATGCAATCAAAGCAAATTACTTTGTAAAATTTCAACAATGAATATTCTTTCTTTAAAAACAGTTGAAAAATAAAATTCAATTCCTACAATCAATCAATCATTCATTTACTCTTTTTGAGAGTGTCAGTGATAACTTCCATCATGCAGGGCACCGTTGAGGTGGGGTCGTGGGCCTGTGACAAACTGGCATGCTTCCATATAAGGCTGTCCCCGTGGTTTAATGCACCCCGCATAATTCAGCAAAATTTGACCATTTTTCGCATAATTTCTGATTATTTTCCTATATAAATCATTCTTTGTTAAAATTAACAGAATCGTATAATTTCACATTTTTGGGCTCAGTTTGCATAATTTCAGAATTTTTCTTGCATAAAACGACAGGGACAGTTAAGGACCATTCAGTTTGGGTGCTGACTGATGGAGGAGAGGATGGATGGCGGGGTAGAGGAGGGGGTAGAGAAGAAAGACAGGAGGGGGTAGAGGTGGGGATGGAGGAAGGGATGGATGATGGGGTAAAGGAGGGAATAAAAAATAGGATATAAGAGAGGATGGATGAGGGGATGGAGGGGTGGGGAGGAGGAGGGTATGGTATATGGTGGAGGAAATGGAGGAGGGGATGGAGGAGGAGAAGGATTAGGGGTAGAGGAGAGAGGATTGAGGTGAGGTTGGAGAAGAAGATGGATGAGGGGGTAGAGAGGGAAATAGAAAAGAGGATTGAGGAGGAGATGGATGAGGAGATGAAGGAGGAGAAGGATAGGGGGGGTAGAGGTGGGGATAGAGGTGAGGTTGGAGGATGAAATGGAAGAGGGGGTA